GCTCACTCGAATACTCACTAAGCATCAGCGAAGTCACCGGAACGCCGTTTCCCGGCTTGCTCGTCTCCCTCCTGCCACGTGATGAAGGACCCTCTGTGGGTCCAGATCGGAACACACATCCACATGTGGCCCCTGTGGGCAGCTGACGGAGGCAGGGCCAGCCTGTTCCACGCACCCCCTTCCTTGATTGCTTTGTGCTTCTCCACCCTGGCCAAGCCTTCCAGGCTGTCCAGTTCTGCAGCCAGGGAGAAAAGGATCCCAAGAGAGCCTCATCTCCTTCCTCAGACAGCCTTGAGGGAAACCAATGAGCAAGCCCAGGTGTGCTTCAGCACAGAGATGGTTCTGGAAGTCATCCTGGCGAGTTGCGTTCTGAGTTGCTGCGTTGGCCATGGCCTTTGATCTAGGTCTGTTTCCCTGACCGGAAAAAGAACCTGGGTAGAGAGAGGGTTCAGAGTGAGCAGAGAGAATAAAGCAAGGGGTGCAGAAACCCTGCCACCTGTGAGCAGCGCTTGGGAGTTTGTAGATGGAATGGTACCCATCCTGTAAGAAGCCCTGGATAAAGTTCTTTTTGTTTTGTTTTAAATAATTATTTTTTATTTCACTTTATTTATTTATTCATTTTAATTTGACCAGAAAGGGACAGAGTGAGAGAGAAAGAGAGGGCTAAATGAGAAAGCAAGCTGCTAGGTCTAGGACTCAAACCACCATGTGGGAGTCTGTGTTTTTTGGTTTTTCTGTTTTTTAGATTTTTAAAAATAATTATTAATTTAATTTCTTATTATTTTTAAAAATTTGCTATAGGGCACATGCACTCACCGGAGAGACGGAGGCAGGAAAGAAACCCACCAGGTCCAAGACTCAAACCGCTGTCGGCTGTGGGAGTCCAACACCTCAACCACCATGCCACCTGCCGACCCTTCAGTTTTATGACCTGCAGCATTTCCAGTCATGACAAAGATACCAGGACGGCTGGGGGGAATAAACCATCAGGGAGGGCCAGCAGTATGGCCGAGAGGTTGGGGAGCCACATCCCACGTGGCTGACCACAGTTTGAACCCTGGGACAGAAAGACACACTGGGTGCCTGTGGGTGCCTGCCAAAACCCCGACTCCCTGGAGAAATGGAAGAGAGGTTGTGGCGTGACCACGCCCCACTGGAGGCTGCTTTCTCCCTCTCCTCCCTCTCCTCTCTCTCTCTATTTGGTGAGCGCATGTTCCCTCTGACAATTAAAAACAAACCGACAGGGACCAGCAGGTGTCGTAATGGTTACATTGTTGGACTTCCACATAGTCAACCGTTGTTCGAGTCCCAAACCCAGTGGATTAAAACTCAAACCAGACACGCATGCCCAAAATCTCGAGAGAATGAAGAAGGGATTGCGGTGTGGCCAACCCCCGGGTGTGATATCTTGCTTTCTGTCTCTGTGTCTCTCCAGAGAGCACATGCGCCCTATAGAAAAAAATCTATATAAAAACAAAACAAACAAACAAAAAACCAACAATCAGTGTTTGAGCTCTTATTCTCTTGAGCAGCCCTTGAAGCTCCAAGGAGGAAGGTCTGGGGCAAGCCCTTCACTAGTGTCTGGACACTGACCACTGACTGTGCTGTGCTCCCTAGACCTGCACCCACTCCCCACCCTCAGTTCTCCATCCCAGGAAATGACATCACCCCGACTCAGGCCCTCAAGCCAGAAAGCTGAGGGCCTATCCTCAACCCGCCCTCTCCTCCGTCTGCCATACTTGACTCACCACATCCCAAACATGTTCCTAGTCCCACACACCCTATGGCCTCCGCTGCCACCCCCAGTAAGCACAACTCCTCCCATTACCCCACCCATTCACAGCACAGAGCTGTTACCCCAGCATACACCCTTCCATGGCTCCCCACCATCTCAGGGTAAAGAAAAGCCCGCCTCAGCATGACCTACTGCTGTGGAAAGTAATCTGCTCGCTCATTCCTTCATTCCATTAGCTCAGTAAAGCCTGTCTGACCATGAAAACATGGCTCACATTTATCAAATGCACATCCAAGGGCTGGCAGGTGGCCCACAGCGGTTTGACTTCCGGACCTGATGGCTTGTTTTCTTACTTTCCCTCTCTCTCTCTCTGTTTCTCTCAAATTAAAATGAATGAATAAATAAAAAGAAAGGGACCAGCAGTTAGCGTAATGGCTACGTTGCTGGACTTCCATGTAGTCTACTGCTGTTCGAGTTCTGAACCTGGTGGCTTAAACTCATGCTGGCCACGTGTGCGTGCGTGCCCAAGATCCCAAGAGGAGAATGGAGGAGAAGGGATTGCAGTGTGCTATACCCCCTGGGGGGGTGATTTCTTGCTTTCTGTCTCTCTGTGTCTTTCTGGTGAGCACATGTGCCTTATAGCAAAAACCTCCCCCCAAGATAAATAAATAAATAAATAAAGCGATCCTTTAAAAATTTTAAGAAGTGCACACCCAGGCCAGCCAGTGGTATGGTAGTTAAGGGGACTGGATCTCACATGGCTGACTATGTGGTTTGAGTCCTAGACCCAGAGGCTTGAGAAACATGCCAGGTGCATGTAAATCTGTGCCCCAGAACCCCAAGAGGAGGAAATGGGATGACAATGTGACCATTCTCCATGGAGGGTGCTTTCTCACTCTCTCTCTGGCAAGTCCACACACTCTCTAGCAGCTTAATTTTAATTAATTAATTAATTAACTTTTGGCTTTGCTATAGGAGTGTGCACTCTCCGGAGAGCGAGGCGGAGACAGTGAAAAATCGCCCCTGGGAGGGATAGCCACACCACAATCTCCTTCAGGGCTTGGGGTATGCATGCACATGTACCTGTGTGCTACTGAAACCCCTCGGGCCAGGATCTGATCTCTGTCGGCCATGTGGGCTCCTGCTCTCCTAACCACCAGGCTCCAGGGCTGGCCCAAGCCTCTGCGTTTGTGGACAGCTCAGGCTCAGGCACTTTCAGCTGTTAGCAGCACGAGCACCTGCCCCTCACTTCAGGGCTCCCCCACCCTCTGCTGGCATCCTTAACCCTGCTCACGCATGTGCACAATGGCCCTCTGCCTCTCTTCAGTGCCCTTTTTTGAGGGTGCCATTTGGGTGCATGCCCAAAATCCCGACGTGGTAAGAAATGAAGGAAAAAGGACTGCAGCGTGACCAGGCCCCACTGTGGGGTGCTCTCTGCCCCCCTCTCCTGGTGAGTACCCAAAATTAAAAACAAACAAACATGTAAACTCAGGCGAGTCTGAGGAAAAGGACTGGCAAGTGTCTGTGTGTGACCAGAGCCCACTCGGGGTGCTTTCTCTCTCTCCCTTTCTCTCCCTGGCCCATGACATGCCCCCGGGGGAGGGAGGGGAACTGGGGAATAGGATAGGAATGGGAGATGAGGATAAGAGTAATAAGCAATAACTGGGGGCTAGCAGGTGGCATGGTGGTTGAGGCTGGTGGGTTGCTTTCTCACTTTCTTTTTCTCTCTCTGTCCCTCTCTGATAAAATTAAAAATAAATCAAGTTAAATAAAAAATAATCTTTAAAAAATACAATGGTAATAACTGAGAAGAAAGGGGTTTTGCACTACCTGTTTCTAAGGTTAGGAAAAATAAAGTTTTTTTTTTTCCTTCTCCTCTCTCTTGAAACAAAAGCATTGTAAATCTGCCCTGGGAGGTAACCCAGAATTGCTGACCCCTTGAAAATACTTCCCTGAGATACGAGAGCCAAGAGAGTCCTTGTGAGACAGGTCGTTGCTGTCGGCGCCCGGCGCCCAGCCAGGCTCCGACACACATTCGGGGCTGGGTAAGGGTTTGTTGACCGACTCGTGGCCGAGTCAATGGGAGAAGCAAGGTCCCCTCAGCCATCTGCCAAGCAGCCCTTCAGAGCGGAGGCAGTAGCTGGCAGTCAGGACCCAGCGCAGCCTGCAGGGCGGACATGTGCATCGTGCAGTGTGAACGTGCCAGCCAGTGTGGCCGATGTGACCGCGCAGGGCCGACCTGCGCAGCCTGCAGGGCCGACCTGTGCATCGCGGTGTGCATGCTTTCACGTTAATAACTTGCCAGCATTTGCAAATCAGATTCTGTGAACAAACCTGGCTTCTCTCAATAATTAGAAGCTCAGGCAGCATGTTACCCTACAAGGGGCGGCTGCACCCCGTCCCCTCGTAGCTCGCCCATATTAAGTGCCTGGCCCCAACCTCTCTGCCTGAGATCCCACCTCTTGGCTGCCTCTCGGTTTCCATCTGGGAGACTGGGAGCTGGCCACTGTTCCCAAGGCAGGTTTTCTCAAAATACCCGAGACAAATTGGCTGTTGGCTCAGTCTGCCAGGGAGGCTGCCACAGCGGATGGTACTGACGCTTGGCCCCTGAGAAGGCACAAACCACAGTGTGGCCCAAGGGTTCGCTGCATCGGGATTGCCTGAGGAGCTTGTAAAATAAATCCAGATTTTGGGCTGCGTCCCAGACCACTGAGTTGACTCCTAAGAATCTGAATTTTAATTTATTTAAAAAATTTTAAAAATTGGGACCAGCAGTTAGCGTAATGGCTATGTCACTGGACTCCCACGTAGTCGACCGCGGTTCATGTCCCGGACTCGGTGGCTTAAAACTCACGCCGGGCGCATGTGCATGCGTGCCCAAGATCCCAAGAGGAGAATGGAGGAGAAGGGATTGCGGCGTGGCCACCCCCCCAGGGGGTGATTTCCTGCTTTCTGTCTCTCTGTCTCTTTCTGTCTGTCTGGCAAGCACACGCGCTCTATAGCAAAAACCTCTCAAAAAATTTTTTTTTAATTATTTAATTTTTCATTTGTTCATTCATTTATTTTAATCTGACCAGAGAGAGACGGAGCGAGGGACAGTGAGAAAGCAAACCACGGGAGCAGCAGTTAGCGTAATGGCTATGTCACTGGACTCCCACGTAGTCGACCGCGGTTCATGTCCCGGACTCGGTGGCTTAAAACTCACGCCGGGCGCATGTGCATGCGTGCCCAAGATCCCAAGAGGAGAATGGAGGAGAAGGGATTGCGGCGTGGCCATCCCCCCGGGGGATGATTTCTTTCTCTCTCTCTCTCTCTGTCTCTCTTTCTGGTGAGCGCACACACCCTACAGCAAAAACCTCTCTAAAAAAAAAAAAATTTTTTTTTAAAGAGAGACCAGCAGTTGGCATAATGGCTATGTTGCTGGACTCCCTTGCAGTCAACCACCGTTCGAGTCCCAGATCTGGTAACTTTAAACTCACGTCAGGCGTGTGTGCGTGCGTGCCCAAGTTCCCAAGAGAAGAATGGAGAAGGGATTGCAGCATGGCCATCTCCCCAGGGGGTGATTTCTTTCTTTCTCTCTCTCTTTCTGGTGAGTACACACGCCCCATAGCAAAAACCTCTCCAAAAAATTTTTTTTGCTTAAGAGGCTGGCAGGTGGCGTGCTGGTTAAAAGCACTGGACTCCCATGTGGTGGACTACGGTTTGAATTCCAGATTTTGCAGCTTGCTTTCTGGCTTTCCCTCTCTCTCTCTGGTCAAGTTAAGGAATAATAATAAAATAAATAGGGACCAGCAGTTGGCGGAGTGGCTATGTCACTGGACTCCCATGTAGTTGACCATGGTTTTAGTCCCGGACCCAGTGGCTTAAACTCACACCGGGCACATGTGCGTGTGTGCCCAAGATCCCGAGAGGAGAATGGAGGAGAAGGGATTGCGGTGTGGCCATCTCCCCTGGGGGTGATTTCTCACTTTCTGTCTCTCTGACTCTGTCTTTCTGGCGAGTGCACATGCCCTATGGCAAACACCTCTCCAAAAATAAAATAAATTAATTAAATTAAAATCAAAAAAAGAAAAACTCATGCTAGGCACATGTGGGAGCGTGCCCCAAATCCAGAGAGGACAATGGAGAAGAGATTGCAGCATGGCCATTTTCCCTGGGTGGCAGGGGATTGCTCACTTTTTGTCTCTGTCTCTCCAGCAAATGCACATGCCCTATAGCAAAATTCTCTCTTAAAAACAAAAACAAAAACAAAAACTGCTGAAGGGTGTATGCACTCACTGGAGACACATAAAAGAGAAAAAGAGAAGAGAGGAAGTGAGAACTCACACCCCAGGAGGATGGCCAACTACAGTCCCACTTCCTCTAGAAATTGTGGGCACACACAGGCATCTGGTGTGTCTTTAAGCTATTGGGTCCGGGACTCAGAGGTACTGGCCCCACCCCTAGCAATCAGTCAGTGGTAACAGGGACAGCAAGGTGACTTACAGCTTCTTTATGGTTGTCTTCTCCTCCTTGTTACTGCCGCCTTTGCTGACCCTGGGAACCACAGCATCTTCTTCCCTTCTTTCTCCTGGGCCTTCTCTTGCTGGAATCAGGCCACTGGGGAAAAGGGAGCAGATAAATAGTTGTTGCATTGCAGACCTCTTATCTGGGCAGCTCTGAAGGTGAAGGGCCTTAATAACTATTACATTAATAAAATTACAGGTGAAAGCACTACAGTCAGATTCTGATTCAAATGCGAATTTCCCTCTGCCTTTCCAGTGTTGATGCTTCTTCTTTCTTTCTCTTGCCTAATTACCTTGGCTAGTACTTCAAGCTTCTCCACTTTCTAGGAATACAGCCATACATAAATTCTCTGACTACATCTAAGCCTTCTTTGCTTAGCCTGTAAATGAGGATTGGGGGACTAAATGAGATAGTTGCATGGCACATGATACTTGTTTATTCAACAAATATTCATTAACCCACCTACTCTGCCAGAGAATTATAGGTAAAGACTGAATAAGGGGCCAGAGGTGGTATGGTGGTTAAAGGCGCTGGGACTCCCACATGGCCTACTGTGGTTCAATTCTCAGCCGTGGTGGCTTGCTTTCTCACTTTCCCTCTCTCTCTCGCTCTGTCCCTCTCTGGTCAAATTAAGGTAAATAAATGAGTAAAGGTAAATAAATTTTTTTGGGGGGGAGATGTTTTGTCTAGAGGGTGCATGCACTCGCCAGCAAGAGAAGAGAGAAACAGAAAGCAAGATATCACCCCCCAGGGGGATGGCCATGCCACAATCCCTTCTCCACCATTCTTCTCTCGGGATCTTGGGCATGCATGCACAAGCGCCCGGCATGAGTTTAAGCTACCCAGGTCTGGGACTTGAACCGTGGTCGACTACATCGGAGTCCAGCAAAATAGCCATTACACCAACTGCTGGACCCAGATACTGTGTCTGTTTTATTCAGTCTTTTTTTTTTTTTTTAACTTTACTGGGACCAGCAGTTGGCGTAATGGCTATGTCACTGGATTCTCATGTAGTCGATCGTGGTTCGAGTCCCAGACCTGGTAGCTTAAACTCACACCGGGCACGTGTGCATGCGTGCCCAAGATCCTGAGAGGAGAATGGAGGAGAAGGGATTGCGCCATGGCCATCCCCCCTGGGGGGTGATTTCTTGCTTTCTGTCTCTCTGTCTCTTTTGTCTTTCTGGAGAGAGCACACATGCACTATACCAAAAACCTCTACAAACAAACAAACAAACAGACACAATATCTTCTTTCGTGTGGTGTATCTTCCACTGGGTAAGGAATGTGTCAATAAACAAAGAAAGAGCATAGCTAGATTGGTAAGTGTTTTTGTTTGTTTGTTTGCCATAGGGCATATGTGCTCAGCAGTGATAGACAGAGGGGGAAGGGGAAAGCACCCTTCAATGGAACATGGTCATGTCGTAATCCCGTCTCCATTTCTCCATCCTTGGGATGTGGGGCACACGCATAGGTACACTTGGCATGTTTTTTGAGCTGCTGGTTGGGATCCAAACCATGGTCAGCCATGTGGGAGCTGACTCCCTCAACATCCAGGCTATGAGGCTGGTCTAATAAGATTTTTTTTTTTTGAGAGGTTTTATTCTATAGAGCACATGCACTCGCCAGAAAGACAGAGAGAGACAGAAAGAGAGAAATCATCCCCCTCAGGGGTATGGCCACACCACAGCCCCTTCCCCACCATTCTCTTCTCAGGATCTTGGGTATGCACGCATACGAACCCAGCGTGAGTTTAAGCCACCGGGTCCAGGACTCAAACCGTGGTAGACTCCATGGGAGTCCAGCGACATAGCCTTTACACCAACTGCTGGTCCCCCGACCTAATAAGATATTGAGGTCAGGTGATATTAAGGTCTGGCAGAAGGGCCAGAATGTAGTCAGTTCTCTGGGCTTGGCGTACGGAAGTCGGAAGGGCGTTCTCTCTCACTTGCTCACCTGGGATTGCCAGAAGCGTTTCCTAAGATTTCGAGAAGGCCTGCCTGCAACGTAAGATAATGAGGCCAACCATCAAGGAGAAGCTAAGGGGAGAGACAGAGGCAAGGAGTCTCTGATCAGAACGTGAGGCCGTGCTGCAATTTTTACTTCTGAAAGTTATTCCAGGGTCCTTCCCAACTATGTGACCCCAGAGCCTCCCTCGTCTCCGCTCATTTAAGCTGGATGTCTGCCGCGTGCAGCCCAGAGCCGTCTCACTCCAATGAGGCTCTGACAGTGGCCAGTGCAGCTCATGGCACCACTTGCGCATTTTCTCTCAGTGGCTGCTGATACATTTATACCTGCAGTGTCCCACCCTTGCTATGGACTGAGTTGTGTCCCCTCAAAATTCCTGTGTCGAAACACTAACCCCGTTGTGATGGCAGTTGACGAAGAGAGGCTTTGTGGTTCTTGAGCTGGTCCAGCCTGGGGTTCTCACGTGGCTATGTTTGGTCGGTGAACTGGCTAGGAGCTGGGCACAGCTGGGGCTGCCAGGGGGGCACCTTGGTTGTCCTGTGTGTGACCTCTGTGCAAAACTACCTAGAGCTTCCTCACAGCAGGGCAGTCTCGAGGCAGCATTCCAGGAGCTCAGAAATAAGAGCTGCGAGGCCTCTTCCTGACAAGAAGTCGAAACTTGCACTTGTCAAAGCAAGGCCCCAAAGAGTAGTGGTTTAATGCTATGCATAGAAGGCCAGATCTGGGACCAGCAGGTGGCGTAGTGATTAGGTCACTGGACACCTACGTGGTCGACTGTGGCTTGAGTTTGGACCAGCAGCTTAAACCTCATGCTGGGCGCCCTTTGTGTGCATGCCCAAAATCCCTAGGAGAGACTGGAGAAGGGACTGTGGTGTGGCCATCCCCTCGGGAGGTGATTTCTTTCTTTCTTTTTTTTTTTTTTTTTGGTGAGGTTTTTTCGCTAGAGGGCG